AAGTGGCTTAGGAAGAGGAAAATGATGAGGATGAATCGCATAATTAGGAATTGGATGGAGGATAATGGGTTTTGAGAGTGGGATTTAGGGAGGATTTATAGAGGGTTTAAAAAGAAAAAGAAAAAGAAAAAAGAAAACTTTTTTTGGGTGCAAAATGAACACATTTTTCATAATGATGATTGAATTTGATCTCACAAACACTAAAAAAAATGTTGTAAAGTGGCTTTCTCTTTTCCACCAATGTGGTGGGTAATTGGCCAACTTTGTTTTCCCTTGTGAGGTTTATGGAGAGTGTGGAAATGTTTTTAATTCAATGTCTAATAATATATGACTTGTTGAATTGGAAAGATGCATTCACTCTTATGGGTTTATAGTTTATGGTTTAGGGATTCTCCTCCTTTTTCTTACTAAATTCATTTGAACTTTAAAACAGTGTATAAAAGTTTTAAAAGTGTATAACATAATCTGAACTTTATGGGTTTATTAGACACTTTTAACATTCAAAGATTTATTAGACACAAAATTGAATGTCTAGAAACCTATTAAACGCCTTTTAAAATTCAATGATCTATTTAACACAAGCCTGAAAGTTTAGAGCCTGAACTTGAGATTCGATCAAAGAATGTAATTTTAAAGGAAAGATATTAATATATATTGGATTCAAACTACGTTTTAATTGACTTTTTCATGCTGCCTCTCGAACTAACTAAATTAAATAAACTTTCATTTTTTGAGTCAAATATTTCTCACTGCTTTTGAATCCCACCAAGTAAATATCAATTTTATAAAGAGACCATTTAGTTCACATATTAAATCTAAATAACTTAGAATCACGAAACTCAAATAGACTCAACCCATTCAAAATTTTCGATCCCGACAAGCACCCTTAACTTAAACCACTCCAGTTACTTATGAGTGTATAACAACGATACGTTAGATCCTCACCTACAGCTACAACGACACTATATTCATAGAGAATGCTATCCTTCATAGAAAGCAAATGGGTGTCCATATAAATTTATAAGAACCATAAGATTGTGTATTGAATTGTCAAGTTAGAAATGATATATGTAGAGCATTAGATGAATCTAAGTGCGCCTAATGATCTTAAAGAAAATGTAGTGGAGAATTGGTGTGTGGTGCACTACATACAATAAAATCCTTTCTTCTTAGTATTGTGGTCTCAATGAATCCTCTCCATCATTCTTTTTCTCAACAAACATAATATTTCGCTAATTTAATCAAAACCTTTGCAATTTTAAATTCTATGAGATTGGTCTTTATGCTTAGCGTACTTCAAACTGATTAAGGCATTATAATTTTGACCAAATTTTTTTTTATTAAACTAGATAATGATGTAAAATTATAATTAAATTTAGAAAATAATAAAAACAAATAGTATTAAAAGAGCTAAATTTATAAATTTGCAAGAAAACTAGAAAAGGGAGGTTCTGACTTGGAAAAATTGAAAAACCAAAAATCTAATTGTTGTGCTAATGTGCTCTAAGAAATTGATTGAAGTTTTCAAAAAATACAAAAAAAGAAAAATATATATTATGGTAGAAGTTGCTTTCACAGCTTTATTTATTTACTTTTGTAATGATTTAATGGAAATATAATTTTTATATGAGTCTTAATTTGATCAGCGTGAGCAATGATGACATAATGCTTCATCTTATTGCAGATATTTTCTTATAATTCTATTATGGATAAAATTTAGAATGTAACTATTTTTCTTTTAATTTTAGGAATTAAGTAGTCAATATTAATTATGGAATTTAATATTATTCAATTGAATGGTGTATATACTTTCTGCACAATTTCATAAATATTTATGTAATTTTTATTTAATTGGAATTTTTTATTATAATAAATGCATTGAAAAGTTTATTTGCAGTGTAGTTTATATCATTTCACTCTCCTTCTACTGCACATCTAAAGTTGTGATGCTTCAAACATCTCCTAACCACCAGCAAATTTAGGCACTAATTTATATTACAAACTTTTTAAGTTTTAATCTAGATTTAAATCGAGTCTATTTAATGATTAAGTTTTGCAATTATAATGTCTCTATAAATAAAAACAATGATAAAAGGAGATAGTCCCATACCCACTCGATTGGTTTATTTTCTCTTTAATTTACTTTTCAGAATAATAATTTAGTTCTTAAATTTTTTAAAAATAATAATTATATAATTTAAAATTAATTACCGTTTGGTTCCTACTATTAAAAAGTAATATATTTTATCCCTTTCAGGTAACATATTTTATAAAGAGGAAAATGTCCCCTTACTTTCCACGACTCTCTCAAGTCATGGAAATCTTTTTTTCACCCTAATTTAATTATTGGATAAGTTAATGTACAGATTTTTTTTGTGTGGATTCGTTTGTTAAGTAATAAATTAATCTATATTAGATTCAAAATTTAAAAAAAAAAAATACTAAGAGTTGAGAGAAAAGATTGGTGGATAATTTACTTAAAATAAACAACGATATTTTGGTAATTTTACAAAGACAAAAAGGAGAAAGGGGTAAATTAGAATAGACTTTTTTAAAAAGGGGTAAAAAATCGATGAATTATATAATGGGGTTAAAAACCCAATTTCCCCCTCACTTTCCACGACTCTCTCAAGTCATTCTCTGACGCCATCTCATTGTCAAAAATCTTCAAATTAAGCTCTGGAATGAATCTCTCCTTCCTCATCTTGCAGAGCAGAACGCAACCAAACAAAGCAGGCGGCGACGGAGGACGACATTGAGAAAACATTCAACTGTGATGAGGAAAAATTTTGGTCATCACGGTTAAAGAGTCGAGTACTTTCCTTTCTAGATTATGTCATTCCTTTCCCCTTCTTCTTCCTTTACTCCGAAGCTCACCACCGACCACCGTTACGGTCAATCTTTGGTGACCTTCGGCGGCCACGAGGGAGGGAGGGTCTTCTTCTCCCATCTCAATTCTGCTTTGAAATTAAGGGTCTTCTTCTCTTCCTCTACCTTTCTCCATGAAATAATAATGGAACAAACGGACAAAACAATCTACTCTTAAAAGTTTTATTTTAAAATTCGTTTGTAAAACCCTACATTTGATAGCACCCTCTCTCCCCCTTTCCTTCGAGCAAATATGAAACTAATAGAGTGGAAAGGTTCTCGTTTCTTAGAAATATTCTCACACGATAGTATAGAAATTTTGGAAACAACTCAAATAAGTTTCTCATTTTTTATTTTAATTTTTAATTTGTTCCAAAACATAAATAAAAAGGTTGTTTTATTATCATACTTGAATTTATAGATGTTGGAGTCACACACTTCATTTTTCTTTATTAAAAATGAAGAAACAGATACAGGAAACAGAAACGTTATCAAGTAGGTCCTGTTTTCATAAAACTTCGAAAAAGAAATAGACATATCCAGTACTAATTCAATTAAAGAAAATGAAAGGGTTACGGAATACCTTTCGACAACTTACTAATGAACAAACCATGAGACTCTCCCGCACCGGTTAAGGCTAGTCATCATTAAATATTTGTCTTTCTAGCTGCTATACTTGCTGCGAATGAACTTATTGACTCGTTTTAATATTATTCAACCAAGAGTAGCAAATGATCATTTAAAACTATTTCTAAAAAACTTCATGGATAAAAAATATCCACTTCGAAATTTCAGGGTCCAAATAGACCTTCCATCTAAACTTTAAAAACTAAAAGTTGGTGCATTTATTTAACCAAATAATTAGAAATTTCGGGTAGACATAGACTATTGTTTCACGGGTATAACACGTCAAATATTTTAAGTCAACTAACCATACAATAAAATCACAAAAAAACGGAAAAAAAAAACACCAACCAAATAATGCTCTTATAAAAATAATAGCATTCAAAAAAAAAACCCCCTGTCGGTCCATCGAGCATCAAATTGGCATATAATAAACTACATTTGGTTTTAAATTATTGATGACTTTATATAATACAAAGTTCAATAATGAAATTATTAATTAAACTTTAAGAAATGAGAATCATGGGGCTTCTGGGCTGAGAGCAGCATAAGTTTTCTTAGGCGACACGTCGTTTACGTTTCCAGCGGTGGGTTTGGACACGTGGGGGTGCAGATAGTAATTGTTTTTGCAAGGAAGATACTTGAACGACTTGTCGTCTCCGCAGTATTTGGGCCTGTACAAAAACTCTTCGCATTCGGCTTTGGATCTCTGTTTGGGAAGGCCCGAAATGCAGTTGTTCGAAACGTCTAGAACTTTCTTCCTTATCAGCTTCGAGCATATTGGTCCCACCTGCAAAATTAATATCCATTCAATTACATTTTCTCTCTTTATGTTTTAATTTTTATTCCAAAAATAAAGCTCAACGCGGTTCAATACATTAATGTATTAGTATTATTTTTTTTAATATAATATTGGGAAGATCGTAATTTGAACTCACGACTTTTAATTAGAGATGTATGCCTTGACCAGTTGAATTTATGTTATTAAAATTGATAGTATTAAAAGTTATAGCTCTGAATTCTTACCCTATAAACTATTATACTAAAAATACATGTCTTGGATATTTATATTTTAGAGATTATGAATGCTCCTTCAATTTTAATTTAAATTATGTCGTTTCTTTTAAATTTTTAAGAGAGAATATGATGTTTACGTTCAATTAACTAGTGTTAGCAACAAAAACTAATTAAAAAAATGTTTTAAAGGTGTAGAACGAAATGAAATATATAATTTAGTCTATTTTTATTATTGTCGGTATCATTTGATTAAAGGTTTATATGATGTACGATAAAAAAATCTAATGAATGTGGCAAGGTGCCGTACCTCAGTGAAGAAGTTGTTTCTCAAG